CTGGCAGCGGGGCGGGCGCCGGCTGTGCCACGCGTCGCCCGGGGAATCGCCCTTCCCTTACGCCCCACGTAAGCCGGGGTGCCCTGCCCCAGCAGGATGCGTCCCGATAAGCCTCCCCGGGGACGTTTGTGTTTGGGGTGTTGCTGTGTCCTACCGGGATGTCACCCTGAGAAGGTCCCCATCCCCAGGGAGTCCCTCTCCCAAGGGGTTCCCCATCCCGAGGGGATCCCAGTCCCAGGAAATAAATGGGAGCTGTGCCTGCGGGAATAATAATAAACACCGGGAATAACATCAGAAAGAGCTCAGGCAGGATGGGAAGGAGGAAAACTTTGCGGCTCCTCCCAGGGCTGCCAGGGGTGGCCGGACCCCTGTGCCAGGGACCCCCCATCCCTGCTCTGTTCCCGCTCTTGGGGCTGCTGGGACCCCCCAGCTCTGCCCAGGCGGGTGCCAGGCAGCGGGTGGGGGTGCACTGGGGGGTGCAGGAAGCCGGAGAAGGGGGAGGGGAGGTGGGGAGGAAGGGGAGCGAAGGGGCCCCCGGAGCTGATGCAGAGGGCAGATAACCCCTCCGGAAAGGGAAGGGGACCGCATGGGGGGGTCACTGCCACCCTGGCAGGCAGGGCCTGCCTGTGGGGGGGAAGCAGCAGCCAGGGGAGTGGGAGCTCAGCTTCGCACCAAGCCCAAAACCCACCGGTCCTCAGATCCAGCCCAGGGCAGAGCGGCAAGGCGGCAGTGATTGACAGCTGTCAGTCACCACGAGCCAGGCAGCATCGCCCTCAGGGCTCTCCCCCCAAATACGCGAGACATTTTTCTCCTTCCCAAGGGAAAACGGAAGGGAGGATGGGGACAGAGAAGGGGACGCTGCCTGCACGTCTCCAGAGCCCCCAGTGTTGTGACACAGGGGTGTCCTTCCACTCCAGCAGTGTTGCCAAACCGGCCACAGCCTCCATTCCACACTGGCAGTGTCCTCAAACTGGTCTGAGCATCCCTCCAGCAGTGTCCCCAGACTGGTCTGAGCATCCTTCCACTTCGCAATGTCCCCAAACCGGTCCAAGCATCCCTTCCCCTTATCAATGTCCCCAAACCAGCATCCCTTCACCCCATCGGTGTCCCCAAACTGTCCTGAGCATCTCTCCACCCTGCAGTGTCCCCAGACAGAGGCTGAACTGAGGGCAGGGACCTGCGGGTACGTGGGCAGCACCCAGCAGGGACATAGTCCCCTCTGATGTCCCCAATCCAGGACAGGTGCCACCATCCCTGCAGGGACCATCCTCAGCCTGATGCCAAACATCCCGCCGCCTTCGGCGCCAGCATGTGGCTTTGCCAGACATAAGCCAGGCAGGGGGGGTTCAGGACCTTAGGGGACACCCTGAATTGGGGGGGGAGGGGGGGAAGACACTACCGCCCCGAACCCCAACTTCTCCCCATCCCCCAGCAATCTAACACCAACACAACTATCTGCTGCTCAGCCCAGCTCCCGGCGATAAAGAGAAATAGCTGGAATAATTTTTCCCACCCACACATACCAGGGCGGAGGGGAAGGGGGAGCGATGGGGCAGATGCGGCGCGGTGCCGGCCATCCGGCCGAGCCATCCCTCCTCACTGTGCCCTGCTCACCCCGATAATAAACCTTGAGGTTTGCAGACAAACTCCGGGCAGCTGGAGATTATTCAGGCAGGAGTCACGGCGCAGATAAACACAACCGAAGGCGAGCGGGAGGCAGGGGGGAAGGGGAACGGGGGGGGGAAAGAGAAAAAAAAAAAAAAAAAAAAAAAAGAGTTTGCAGTTTTAATTAGATGCATCAAAAAAATAAGACGCTCCTCTGCCCCATCCCAATACCCTGCACGCAGGACTGGTGGTGAGGATGGATTTGGGGTTCATGGCCGGTCCCAGGAGAGGTGGACCTGTGCCATGCTCTGTAATTAACCCAGAGCCATCATTACTACTCGGGAGCAATTAAATAAACCCCGAACAGACGAGTCGGCAGCTGCGGGGTAGGGGCTCAGCAAGGTGGAAATCGTGGTGGGGACCCAAATAGCAAAGCCGATGTAGGAAAGGGGGTGAGGAATCCCCTGGGAGCAACCGCTGCTCTTTCGAGGAGGGTGGTGGGACACGTCGAGGGGGACAAGGCAAAAGCCACCCCGGGTTTGGCCCCATCTGCTCCGTCCCTTCCCTACTGGGGAACCCACAGGGACAAAAGCAAAAAGCTTCATCCCACTTTGCAGAAAGGCAAGCGCCGTCTGGGCTTCCCAGGGGCTGCAGCCTGCTGGCAGTTCCCGGTGAGGATTCTCCAGTGTCTCGTAATGCAGTTGAGCAGCCTGTCCCTCAGCGGGGCTCTGTTCTCCTCCATTCCCCTGTCCCAACACCGCGTTCACTAAATTTGTCAGAGCTTTTCACCTTATCCCTCTAGGAAAATTGGCCCAGCGTGGTCAGGTTGGCTGGGCAGTGACGGGATGCGAGGGGACAGCCCCGGGTGCTCCCGAAAGTCTCTGCTACCGGCTCTGCTCCAGAGCAAATAAAAACAAGTGGGAAAGATGGAAACCTGGGGCATGGCAGAGAGCTGCTGGTGGGGCTGTTGGGAAGGGTTTGGGGGAATCTGGGGAGGACGGACATCCCCTCTCGAGCCCCACCAGAGGATGAAGTGGCTGGCGTGAAGCATGGCCACGTTCCATCCCGGGAACCCGTCGGGAAGCAGAACCGAGTCGGGATGACCGAACACCCCCACCGAAAGGACTGCACATCCCTACAGGCTCCCAAGATGAGGATTACAGCCTCCAGCTCCCGGGGATTTGCCTATCAGCGGGACGAGCAGCAGCCCCCTCCAGTGAACAAGGTCATTTCAAAGATAAAACAAAATACTCCTTCTTCCTCGCCGGCACGCCGGGCCAAGGAGCCCCACGGCGAGGTCCCGGCACGCCACGTCCCCGCGCCACCCAGCCTCCCACTGCACCCAGCGGGCAGCAGTTTTGGAGACCCAGAGGGCAAAGCCATAGGGAGTGTGACCCAGTAACCCCCCAAAAAAGGGCCAGGGGAAGGCAAGACCCCACATATATGAACAAAGGCGCACGGAGCAGCCTGCTTGCCCCCCCCGCCCCCCGCTGCTGCGCTGCATCTTCGCGGCTGCCATTGCTGACATACGGCGGATCCTGCCAGATAAAAAAGAGAATTCAGGCTGCTCAGAGTTTCCCTTTTCGCCAGCTCCATCCCTGATAAGTGCAGAGCCTGCAGAGCGCCTGATAGACGGGCTATCGCGGCGGTTGGTGCGAAAGGAACACCCTATCGCTGCAGCATCGCCGGACCGCCATCAACTCCCAGCCACACAGAAATTAATACCACTCCAATTACCAGAATAGAGATGGGCTGGGAGAAGGCGATAATAAAATCTCTTTTACATAAAGAATGCAAATAACCCGGCTCCGGCGAGGGAAGGGAGGAAGGGGAGGCATGGCCAGAGACGAGGCTTTTGGGGGAGCCCGTGGTCGACGGCGCTGTCGGGATATGGGGCTGCGCGGTGCCGTGACCCCCAGGGTGTGGGGACACCCACGGCTTTCGCCTCGCAGCCCCCTACCGCCGAGGAGCCTGGGGCGGCCTCGCAGCTCCTTCCTGCCCGGCACGCAGGAAGGGCTGGGATATCAGCGGGGCCAGCGAGCGCTTCCCCTCGGATGGGGCGGGAAAGGGGGAGCGGGGCCATGGCTCCCCAGCGGGCCGTGGGGATTTCGGCAGCTGCAGGAGCACGTGCGCTGGCAGTCGGCATTTCCCAGGGCTTCTCCATCGCCCAGCCCACACGGGAGGCTGGTGGCCTCGGGGACACACCGGGGAACCCCCCCTCACCCCATCGCATCCATCACTGACGGGCGATCGCTGGTCCTGCATCAGGGTCACCCCTTCCCATCATGCGCTGCTCCACAGGGCTGCTCCGAAACCAGATCCACCAGCATTTCACAGCCGGAAGGTCCCCTGGGAGGAGCGGGATGTGGGCAGGGGGCTGCCAGCATGAACGCAGCCCGAAATGCGGCACATCCACCCTTGGGGGGGGTCTCAGCTTCCCCCGGTCCCATCCTCATCCGCCCGCTGGGTGCCGTCCCCGGCGGACAGGCACCCGCAAACCCAATCTGCGCAGCGGAGCCCCGACAGTAACCCCATCGGTGGGTTGGTTTGGAGATAGCGGGGCGATAGGGCGCGGGGTACCCACACGGCATGCCTGGCCTCGCCGGGCTCCCAGGGCGCCAGCGGCCCCGGCGCGGAGATGCTGAGAGGGAGATAGACGGCTGTATTCGCTCCTTGGGGTTTTGATAACCATCACGAAACCGCTCGAGCGTCGCTCTTGTGGTTGCCAGGATGTTTGCAAAGTGCCCTCGCGAGCGTGGGGCAATGCAGGACGGGGTCGGAACCTTCCCTGTGCCAGGGAGTACGATGCCAGCCACGGTGCTGGCATCCCTGCCGCTCCCGGCTCGGTTTTTACCGTCCCAAAAGCGGCTTGGGGACGTGGGGGACCGCAACCATCATCTCATACCTCCTCTCCCAGCAGAAGCGCAGGTATTTGCAGCCTGCCCAGCTCCCAGTCCTCCTCGTACTGGTTTTCGCAAGAGAAGGCGAATACTGGGGGGCTGCCCCAGCCCACGGTCCAGCCAGGAAGCCGGGATGGAGCGGGATGACTGGCCGCACACTGGGGACTAACCTGGCCCATTCCAGGCATCCATCTCCTGTGGGTTTTCTCCGGGATCTGGCTTCTCCAATTCCTTCGGACTCTCTGGGGCATCTCTGGACTCTGCAGCAGGAGAGGGAAGGCAGCAGGTCACTGGTGGGGAATTTCAGAGGCAGCATCCCGTGGGGGTCAGGACCACCCTGGGGCCAGGATGCGTGTGGGTTCACCCTCAAGGATGCGATGTGCATGGGGGGGTTCCCTCTCAAAATCCCTGTGTCCAACCCCCCCCCATCGCCCAGTCGTGGGGTCCCCTGCACCCCATGGGACGACCCTTAAGGACAGCCAAGCCCACCCATCCACCAGGGATTTCCCGAGACTCCCCTGGGTGGGCACCCACTTCCCACCCCCCCCCGAAAAACCTCCACATCTCTCCCATCCCACCGTGGGCCCCACGTCACCCGGTTCAGCCCCACTCCCGTCACGGCTCTATTTGTGGCGTATTCATAGCAACTTGATAACAATTATTTTCTCCATTAACTGCTGCTGGAGATGCAGCTGATAAAGCCTATCTGCATATGACAGTGTGGAAGATTAGCGCCCAAAGTACATGTTTGCCTTGGCGTCCCGGGCGGATAACCAGCACGGAGCCCAATCGATCGGCGCCAGAGCGAACACCCAGAGGTGACGTCACCGGCATTGGAGATTATTAATACAGGTGATAAGCGGAATGATTAACATCAAATAAATCAATCACCGGGTATAAAAGTCCTATTATTTTTGGCTATAAATCAAAGTGCCTGGCATATCGATTTTTATCCATCGCGCTGAAAGCTTTAGTGGCCGTTATTGCTGCTCGGCGTTATCTCTGCTATCACCTTTTTATCGAGGCAGGCTAGTGCCAGGTGCAGCTCCGCGCCCGGGCTCCCAGCTCCCTCGCCCCCAGCCCGGCTCCCCCATCAGATAAGAGCCGCTCGCTTCTCCCAGCCGCTGAGCAAAGTTTGCCGGCGAGCCCGCGCCCTGCCCCGGCTATCGGGGTGCCGGCGTGGATCCCTCCTCTCTCCTGCTGCATCGACGGCTCGGCTCCCGCGGTTTCGGGGAGGGGGGGATGCGTTGCTCCCCCAGTTGGATGAAGGCGGCAAGCGCTCGCCGGGGACCGGCCGGCTTCATTAGCCGGCGCAGCCTTGCCCTGGCGCGGGTATCTCGAAGGGCACTGCA